GTTGATAAAAGGTTTAAAAATCATATGCTTGGTTACCAAGGTATTTCATTTACAGTTGTAAGAGTTCAATGAATAAAAGGATTTCATGATTTAGAGTTAATTTATATGCTGTGTCCAAATTCAGGGAAGGGTGCTCCGAAGAATCCTACCTACGTCACGTAGGTAGGATTCTTCAACAGCCGAGTAGGATGGACTTGAGAAGCTGGCCTTCGTTCAAGTCTGCCCTTGAACGACATTTCTGGTCGTTCACACCACAGCACGAAAACTGAAAAATGGACCAATAAATGATGCTCCGTGTGTTGTGTACTGTTTTAATTTCCGAGGAGCTACAAAACCGGTATAAACGTCGCCGGCATGTTTGGTACCTTAGGCTCATCAGAGCCAGTCATATCCAGGTAAAATAATCTACCCTAAACTACACGCATTTAGGAATTACATAGCTGGTTGCTAGTTTAACGGATAAGTCCTTATTTTTTTTATTTTTTTTTTATTTTTTACTTAGACCTGGTTTAATTCTGGTATAGAACCAGTCGAATATTTGTATATCCAACTGCAGCTGTCAGACCATAGCAGGGGTCACCAGCCTTTTTAAAACTGAGAGCTAGATAAAATTGTGAACAGCTTGGTTCATCTCCAAAAGTTGATTCTGTTCATCTGAACGTAGCGTTTTGTGGGAGAAACGTTTCGTCACTCATCCAAGTGACGTCTTCAGTCTCAGCTGACTGCAGGTTTCCCCAATCTTATAAACAGTGCATTTGCATAATGACTGAAACCAGCCCACTCAGGGAACAATGGGCTGGGAGGTCAGTTCCTTAATCATAATTATGCAAATTCTCATGACCATTGATCAACAACCACTGACCAAAACCCAGAGGGTTTACTTTCCTGGATAATTGAGAATGCATCAAGAAAGTTGGTTCATCTTTAGTTATCTGATAATAACAATACTATCTTGATATGCTATGTCTTATCACAGGTTAATTTTTCAAAAATATTAATGATTTAAGAAAGGAAAGGGCTACATGTCAACATCCAACTCTTTATTTCTATTAATGTCTTACCTGATTGACATGTTTAGGAATTATGAGTGATTGGCACACTGTAGTGGTAAAAGTTGCTACCAATCAAATTAGGACATCGTAAAGTTAAAACAAAACACAACTGACTGTTTTATATTATATCTAATATATATTATGTAATATATATATGTGCCACCAGGGACTCCTTTAGGACCATTGCATTCAGTTTCAGAGTCGGTGTGTCCACGGTGTGCCAGATTGCCCCCCAGGTAGCAACGACCATCTGGGACTGTCTAGTGGGTGACTTCATGGCTGTACTTTCAACTGAAGACTGGCGGTCCATCGCAGAGGGATTCCAGGAGCGCTGGAACTTCCCTCTCTGCTCTGGAGCTCTGGATGGGAAGCACGTCCAGATGCATGCGCCCCCCCCCCCCAAACTCAGGATCCATGTTCCACAAATACAAGGGAACTTTTTCAATTGTTCTCCTTGCGGTTGTGGATGCAGGGTATCGCTTCCGCGTCATTGATGTTGGGGGATATGGAAGGTATTCTGGCCAACTCCACCTTTGGTCAGGCTCTTCGGGCTGTGACTCTCCATCTGTCTCCTGACTAGCCTCTATCTGGTGGAGAAGACCGTGGAGCCCATCCCCATGTCTTTGTGGCTGATGAAGCGTTCCCGCTGCAGCGGGAGATCATGAGGCCTTTCCCTGGACGCCTCCTCCCATTAGAGAAGAGGATCTTCAACTATCGCCTCTCCAGGGCCCAGCTGGTAGTGGAGTGTGCCTTCGGTAACCTCTCCTCACAGTGGAGGTTGTATCGGCATTACATGGAGCTCCATCCTGAAGTTGCGGAGAAGTGTGTGAAGGCGACGTGTGTAGATGTTTTTTGTATTTTATAGTTTATTTATTACATTTCATGTGGAGTGAATAAATAAAAGTATATTTATGGTGGCCCCTAGAGACAAAGCACGTACAAACTCCAATCTTCTGTGTTACCTGGATTTACATCAGTGTAAGGGACTCAACAAAAAACAAAGTGTGCAGGTGTGTTTTTAATAACGTTACAGAAACTACAAAATGACAAATAAATACTTTAAAGTTACACTTCTTTCACCATCTAGGTCACCAGCAAGCCATTTAAGACAAGTGTCAGGGTTAATATTGGGTTACCATGCACCTCTTTATCTAATTATCGGTTTATTAAATATTGACTGCATTTTTGTGCATTGCAAAATGAAACGCAGATGACAGAAGAGGTGAAAAAGTAAAAACTTGTAGTTTTAACAGGTTCTAGCTTTGGCAGCCAAAATTTTTTAGCCTTGTTCATCAGCACACATGGCATTTTACAACGAACTGTCCACTGTTACAGAGATCTTCAGTGCCACTATCTTTATTGGGACGTCACACCAGGTGCTAATGTATGGAAACAGCCTGTCAGTGAAGCTGTGTGTGAAGGTGTGTATGTGTGTGTCTGTGTCAGAGTCATAAAATGACAGCTCTCCTCTGTCAAAGTCCAGCTGAAGTCTGATTCTCTTCGGGTTCCTCGTCACTTGCACGTCTGACCCCGGGTCTAATGGCGACATTATTTTGTATTCACCACCACAGAACATCAGCCTCCACAGTGCAGGCCAAATGACTCCTTTCCTCTGAAATGAGTCTGTTAACACTCCCAGCACAAAGGCCGTATTGTCCCCAACCTCCACCTCCCAGCTGTGAGAGCCCGAGTCAAAGCCCTCGGAGCTGACAACGGAGAAGAAGTGATCAATCCTCTCTGGATTGTCAGGAAGCTCCTGGGTTTGCTCTCCTTGCCTCACACTGGTCAGATCTTCAGACAGGATTACGCCTGGGTGAGCAGTGTTTGGATCCAGGATCACAGGACAGTAGGAAACCATCTCCTTCATCTTGACCCACACATTGAAGCTTAGGTTGCCCACACGCTGGGCCACATCTATCTGTGCTCCCGAGGCGAGCTCTGGATCATCAGGAAGAGGTTGCTGCTGAACTCGTTCCACTGCAGCTTCTGTAGTTCTGCAGAAATGAGACATTACCAGCTCTCAGCTCATTTTCTGTGTCTTTAATGGTGCGGTAAAGTGCTGTTATCTCTCTGCTCAGAGCCCCAATCTTCTCCTTCATCACTTGACTCTTCTGCTCCTCTTCTTCCCTCAGTGCAACCAACCTGGCTGCCTCCTCCTCTTCTAGAAACTGGTGAAGCTTCTGGAAGTGCTCCTTAATGCTCCTCGCTGTGCTTTCAGCCTGAGCTCTAATATGCTCTGCGGTTTGATCACATTTCCCTTTAACCTCACGGATGGCCCTCATTTTCTTTTTCAGGGGTTTTAATGAATCCTCAAGTTTTTTCTTGTGGTCCTGAGCTGCTTCATCAACAGACTGGAAACGATGGTTTCTGTGAGCTTCTTGATCTGTGCAGTATCTGCACAATAGCAGCTGCTCATCCACACAGAAGACGCTGAGTTTCTCAGAGTGCAGACTGCAGACGGGCTCAGAGGCTCGCTCCTGTAAGAAAGCCTCACAACGCTTCTTCAGCTCAAAATAAACAGGTGGACACTCCTTTGGAGACTTCCTCTTGCAGACCGGACACCCCAAATCGTTTTTGTTTGCCCAGTATTTCTGTAAACAGTCATTACAGAAGCTGTGCTTACATGACAGGATGACTGGATCTTTAAATATATCTTTGCAGACGGGACACGACAGATCTTCCTGTAATTTAGACGCCATGTTGCAGTTAGTTCCTCTCTATACTGTCAAGTTACTTTCACTTTCCTTACGAGCCTCCTAGCAGCAGGTACAGTACATTGCCAATGACAGTATTCACAGTATTCCCTGGGGTACTATTGCAGTCTTTCCTCACTGGGAAGTCTTGAATTTAGCGATAAAGTGTCGTCTTTCATCCGTGCATCCTCAGCAGAGAGAAAAACAAGTTGCTTCCTCATTTCAAAAGAGGGCAGGGCTTCCTGACCCTTCCTGTTACTGGCCAGATAAGAAATAGTTGAGTGGCAGTCAAAGAAGGAAGCTGAGGAGCTGAAGCCTGTATGTAGTATTTAATGTTTATGTGACACATAAATAGAGATTTTTGACATGCATGTAAAAATACTATCAGATGATTTGTTTTTCTTCCAAAATATTTGTAAATTAAGATCTTTGGCTCAGTTGTTTGAGTTTTGGGGATCTTTAGGTTTTCTCTACTCTTGTATTTATTTTTATTATGGTTCTATATTTCGTATATCTTCTTGTTTTCATGCTTTCTTCAGGTTCGTTCTGTGTTTTGGGGATTTATGTTCCCATAGCTCCACAGCCTTGTGTTTATGTTTAACTTCTGTTTATGATTTTATTGAATCTGGGACTTTGGTTTCTTCACTGCTTTATGTTAAGTATAAGTTTGTTGTCCATCTACTGCCTCTGTCTGGCCTCAGTATTAGTTATTTATTTTGATAGTCTCCTGTCTTGTGTGCTCTGGGTTTTCTTCTGCTTCTCTATCTCAGTCAGTTACGACACATGCTGCGTGCTCGGTCTCTTGCATTTAGATCAGGCAATGAGATAGAGTACAAAGCTGCGAAGTATGGACTGAGGAAAGCCATTACAGCGGCTAAGAGGCAGTACAGAGAGAAGCTGGATGGCTTCTACTCATCGTTCTTTCCTCAGTCCCATCCTCTACACCCTGTACACCAATAAGGATAAAACCATACTGAAGTTCGCAGATGACAGTGATTGGTTGCATCACTGGAGGGGACAAAGCGGCTTATAGGAGAGAGGTGGCCGGTCTGGTGTCATGGTGTGGGGACAACAACCTCACCCTCAACACCGATAAGACAAAAGAGATGATAGTAGACACGAGGAAGGAGAGGAGGCCTCACCAGCTGCTGTTTATCCGGGAGAGTGAAGTAGAGAGGGTGAGCAGCTTTAGATACCAAGGCATCTACATCACTGAGGACCTAACCTGGACATTGACACCACACAGCTGGTCAAGAAGGCTCAGCAGAGACTGTATTTCCTGAGGAAGCTGAGGAAATTTGGTATGTCGGCCAAGATTCTAGAAGAAAAGCAGATCTTAATCAGTGTATAAACTGCATTAGTGAGTTTGTTATATATTTGTGAAAGACTGTCTAACAGTATAATTATGTAATCTTTTTAATGGGTTTCTGCATTTGCTGCTCAGTGGCAGACACCACCATGAATGAAACCACATTCATGTTTTGCATTTGCATCGTTTGCATACATAAGTATTTATTCTCAAACAACACAAAGACAACCATACATGAAAAATACACAAATCAGTACCATACGGTGAATGACTGCCATGACTTCTCATTAGTAGTGATTGTGAACTTAATTAGAAAATATTACTTAAGCAGTGCGTCTGCCCTTACAACAGCCAGGTGTTTTTGCGTACTGCTGTTGTGATAATATAGCATGCACGGTTTGGACAGATTATGGAAATGAACTGGAAAGTGGAACCAAGCGGAACAAGCAGAGATACAGTGAAGGCAAACATGTCAGTAATGCTGATGCGACAGCTGGTTGATTTCACATGAAACTATTTGTGGTCTCAAAACTGCCAACAGAGGATTGAGCTGATGGTGAAGGATAAAGAAGGACTCTGAATGAATCACAACACCTTTGCAGTAAACAGTAAAAGTGAACACATCCCAGTCTTTTCCCCCTCTGCACAGTGCACACCATGGCTACAGTAAATCTACTTCAAAGCTGGAATAATCTTTTATTTTCACGAGACATTAACATGCTGATTTTTAAAATAAACCATTAAGGTACAAAAGGTTCAATGCAACCTCTCGTTTGTCCAGAGTGAAATCTTCAGATTGCTTTCTCTGTCTGCGGATCATTACAATAAGTGGAACACATCAGCTGGGCCATGGAGCGTCTCGTCTTCTGAGTGGAGAGAACTGGTGACTGAAGTTGAGACCAGGCAGGTCACACAGACAAACACAAAGGGTATTGTGTGTGTTTAAGAATATACTATTGCTGCTATTCTGAGTATCTGATGTGCAGCATCATTGAGATAAAGGCATAGAATTGCTAGTGTAGGTTAACGGGGGGCAACGACAAGAAAGACGGATTTAGACAATCTGCATTCTTTCTAATGGCCAGCAGGGGGCAAATCCTTTGGTTTCAGAGAAAAGTCCAGCTGAACTGAAGTCTATAGAAGTGATCCTGACTTCATTAGTGAGCTTAGTGAACACTTTCCTGTTAATTAATAACTTTCAGAGCTTATACAATACAACATGACAGTCATTATATAAGTTAAGGACCGATTATGGTCACCGCATTGGTCATGTCTCATCCACAGCTCTGTTTTACAGTGCACAGGCATTCAATGTATTTTTCTAAATGATAGGGGAAGACGAAACCTCTGCATCAGTGGTGCTGGTGTAACTTAAAACCAGAACAAGCAGGAAGATTATCTTCCTATGTGTAATCTGTGACTCTCTGAGCTTGTGTACTGATGCATCACAGAAGTGATGGTCAAACCAATACAGTCGTCTGCAAACAGCCTGATCCATGTTTTATCATCCTTATGGACTCTAATGAGGACCATAATTTACAGAAGGAACATAAAACTTATACAAGTGATTGAGTCCAAAAACCCAAAAGAAAAGTGTTTACTGACGTCAGTTTTAAGGCTTTAACCAAGATCTGGGAGCCAGAGGAGTAGCCCCCTGATGGCCATGAGAAAGAATGCAGGCTAAAGCCACTTTTGCACGTTTTATACCGTAGTGTTTCAGAATGAAAAGCGCTGTATGTCATTTAGAAATCAGTTTAAGCTCACACAACCAATTCTGCAGTTTCCATCCGTCTCTTATCTGTTTTAGTATCTGCTTTCTGGGTTTCTGTCAGCGCAGAGGAATGTTACTTTAACTGCTTAGAGATCACAAATGTAATCTGAACAGGACCCATTTTAAACCATGAACGTAAACACAGGGAACATTAACAGTGAACGTGTCGAGACACAAGTCTAGATATGCCAGTGAAAAGAAGAAGAATGAGTCCAATCAGAGAGACAGATGCACCAACACCCAGGATCTTCCTCCCCACCAGGAAGAGCAGTGGAGCCAGCAGACGGTAGGCCTCATGTCAGGTGACGGCGTTCAGGTTCTGGCCTCCATCGGTCGGGGTGAAGAACTGGACTTTAGGCACGGCGAGGCCTGAGTTGTTCCTGCGGAGACTCCCGCTGCTTCCTGCACCTTTGCGCATGGAGTTGTTGCGTCTCATGGAGTTGCGCTTCCTCAGTGAGTTCTGGTGCGAAAGCTCACTCTTTTGGAGGGTTTGGATTAAGATGGACGGCTTCTCGTCCAGTTCTCTGGCACTGCAGCATGGCGTCGCAACCTGCAGGAGGAACAAGAGAACATTTTGCGAACATCTCTTAAACCAAGTTCAAAAGTGGGAAGAGACACTGACCCAAATCAATGTTTTGCTGTGATTGATGATGATAATGAACAAAAGTCCACCAGGATCTTTTTTGTTTTAGCGTTTACCTTGACTGTGTTGCCAAATTTGGAGTAGTCGACAGAATACACGCCCTCCTCCTCTGTTACTATGGGAACGAAGCGGTGGCCCCACTGGATCTCCTCGGAGACGTAGGAAGTCCGTGCCTGCGTGGTTATGCCCGTCGTCTCCACAACTCCCTCCAGGATGACAATCACCTCCAGGTCGCTGCACTGCAGCTCCATGGCTGACAGGTCGTACAGCGGGCTGAGGGCAGAGTGGGGGGAGTCCAGGTTTAAATATCAGAGTATATCAGAGTATGTGCAGGTGATACATGGTTTCTGTTTTAGTTGTTTATTTAAACTTTAAGTCTGTGTTTGTCCAGCAGGTGGCGGTAGGGCATAAACGAGTCTCATCTTGTTATCTCACACTCTTACACTGTTACTTTTATGAGGTTTTTTTTTTCCAGTGATTAACTTTTAAAAAGAACTAAAGGTAAAACAATTACTTTGGATTATTTTTAAACCAAAAGCAGCCAAATGCCAATATTCTCTCCTCTCTGCCATTTTCTGTTAATCATAAATCAGCCGAGGGGCTTTCTGGTTGATAACACATCACATATTATCTGTTTGTGTGGACTGTGGAGAGCACAAAGTGGGGTTCAGTCAGGTGTAATAAAGCCACAGCCTCTGTGATGTGTTTCTGGACCTGTTTTTGTCGATGACGTGGCAAATGATGAGCGGGGCGAGGAGGAACAGGCTGTTGCTGCCCACAGCGCTCTCTGTCTGCACGTCGATCTGATGGATGGGGATCACCTCCCCCTCTGGTGTGGTTGTCTTCCTCACAACCTGCAAGCAGACGAAGTGTAGTCCTAATTAACTAACAGCTCGATTAAACCTGAGAAAAAAATTGCTTTTGAGTGAATTCTGAAGTAATTAAAAACCAACCATATTGTTAGACATATTAGACTTCATATGTAACTGATATCACCCAGGGCCTGATCCTGTTCAAGCCAAGTCCTTCAAATAAATCTTGGTACAACCTCAATTCATAACTCTACTCAGCTGTACTCACCAATCTGCAAAATGTTGCATATACAAATTGTGGAACAATTTCAGAAGAAAAAGGTGAATAATTAGAATATTTATTTTTCTATGTACAGTAAATAAAATCAAAAGATTCAGAGAATTTGGAGAAATCTCTGCGTGAGGAATGAGGCTGAGAATCAGTGCTGGATGCCCGGCACATTGCATTAATGCATGGGCTCTGGTCTGCTGAGCAACTAAAATCCTCCATCAGACTAGAATCAGACATCATTCCTGTCCCGAAGGTCTAGCAGTTTCTCCCCAGATGATCCCAGATGTTTACAGACTGTAGTTAAAAGAAGACAGTCTTTTCCAACTTTTTTGAGACATCCTATCAAATTAAAAATGAGCTCATATTTCTCTTATATTTTAAAATGCCACCTTTGGTAAGTTTAAACACTTTCCGTGTCTACTGTGAATAAAATATGGATTTATCAGATTTGTGCACTTCACATAGCATCCCAATATATTTGAAAGTGGGTCTGTAGATATTTGGGTGAGATAGCGACATCGAGGTAAATAGAGTCAAGCTGAAGATTTTTCCTCTTGCCCCTGTGTTATTATATTTTTACTCCAGCCCCTTATTTAAGCTTTCCTTCTTACTAAGCTACTTGTTGCTTTATTTTGGTAGATACTTCAGTGATTAGAGAGGTGGGGTATATCATCTGAAGTGAAGAAAAGTACCTGGCTGATCATTTCTGCATTTTTGTAGTGAGTAATTACTAAAGTTGTGTTACATGAATAAATGTGGGTAACTTTCTTAGAATGGAGGTGCTCACGGAGATAAAACTGCCACAAACAGCTCGACCAACAGATGAAAACTTAATCTTGTTAAAACGTCTTTCACATGTCGGTTCTTTATTCATTGAAAGAATTAAAAAAAAGTCGCACTTCAGTTTGTAATAGATGCAACAACTCTGATCATCACATAAGAAAAAAACACTCATGTAATAAAAGTTTTTCTTGTGTTTTCAATAATTCATTTTGATGTTCTGATGGTTTATTTGTTGAACTTTTGTCTTGTTGTTACCTGGAAAGAACTTACGGACCAAAAGTAGATCAGGAAAGGAGGAATAACATTTAATAATAGACATTTTTAAACCCACGTTTGAGTTACTCCGTATCTTTTAAAAATGTGAATATTTCACTGAAACTTTAAACAGAATTATTAGAACTGATCCCAAAGATCATTTTAAAAAAGCGTTATCTTTTGGCTAAAGACCCAAACTAAAGACCAACCTTTCTGACCCCGCTTTCATTTTTTTGCCTGTAAGTTTACCGGATTGAGTCACATCAAAGTTTTAATCTGTGACTCTGAAATTTCTATTTCAGTTAACTGAACAAAACCACAAAGTATTTATTGTAAAAAGATCTCTTGCAATACGTTCTAGGCCCACTAGGGGGCCGTGGCCCACACTGTGATTGTAAGGGAAAGATTTGGGAGAGGTCTCATTTATATGTCTTAAATCTTTGGATTGTGGTGCAGTGCTGTTTTCTCTTTTGTTTTTATTGTTTAGTTATGATTTGTATTTATTTTACTTTGTGTGTTTCTTCTGATTTTTCATCTTTATTTC